TGTTTGACCACTTCCAATTTGCCTTGATTCATGGACCTAACATTCCAGGTTCCTATGCAATATTGCTCTTTATAGCATCGGGCCTTGCTTCTATCGTCTGTCACATCCACAACTGGGTATTGTTTTTACTTTGGCTCCATACCTTTATTCTTTCTGGAATTATTTCTCCACTGATATCTAGTCGCATATTGGGCACCTACTGATCTGAGAAGTTCACCTTTCAGTGTCCTATCTTTTTGCCTTTTCATACCGTTCATGGGATTCTCAAGGAAAGAATACTGAAGTGGCTTGCCATTCCCTTCTCCAGTGGACCACATTCTGTCAGACCTCTCCACCATGACCCGGCCATACTGCATGGCTTAGTTTCAATGAGTTAGATAAGGCTGTACAGTACTGTATTATTAACTGTAGTCATGATAAAGAACATAAGATCTTCAGAAATAATTAACTTTATAACTAAAACTGTGTTATATTTGGTCTCTCCTCCCAGGACCTTGCAGCCACCATTGTACTATCTGTTTCTATAAAATCATTTATTTGTTTCTTTTTTCAGGTTCTACATATAAGTGATACCATATAGCATTTGGATTTTCTCTGTCTAGCTTATTTCAATTAATATAATGTCTTTTGGGCTTACCCACGTTGTTGCAGATGACAGGATTACCTTCTTTTTGTGTTTGAGGAATATTCCTCTGTGTGTGTGTGTGTGTGTGTGTGTGTGTGCGTGTGCATGCGCACAAATGTGTATGTGTATCAGTTTCTTTATCCATCCATCCATCACAGGACATTTAAGTTGTTTCTGTATTTTAGCTATTGTGAATAATGCTGCAATAAGCATGGATATGGAGATATCTCTTCAAGATACTGATTTCATTATCTTTAGAAAAATAAATTCAAGAGTTGGANGTGCATGCGCACAAATGTGTATGTGTATCAGTTTCTTTATCCATCCATCCATCACAGGACATTTAAGTTGTTTCTGTATTTTAGCTATTGTGAATAATGCTGCAATAAGCATGGATATGGAGATATCTCTTCAAGATACTGATTTCATTATCTCTAGAAAAATAAATTCAAGAGTTGGACAGCTTTATTTCATTGTAGTTCAAGTTTTAACTTTTTGAAGGACCAGCATACTGTTTTATTCCCATCAACCGTGTACAAGTGTTCCCTTTATTCTAAATTCATGCCAATATGTGATAACTTTTGTCCTTTTGAAAATAGCCATCATAACAGGTCTATAGAGTTATCTGAATGGAAAACA